GAGGCCACGTGAAGTGTCGAAAGCCCGCTGGCAGGAGGTCACGGGGCAGACCCAGGTGCCACGGGTCGACTGACCGAGATGACCGAGATGACTGGCTGATGCACCACCTGTGCCCCCTACTGTGCCAACTTGCTGTGCTTTAGCCACCCGGCGCTCCGCTCGTTGTTGTGAGCGTCGCTCCTCCGCCCTCCGTTGTTGTTGGAGGGCGACTGCCTCCAACTGCCCAGTAGCGTCCTTCACGAGCCTCCTCCACTGAGGCCGATCTTGACACCGCTGGTACCAGTCATCGGCAAGTCCACTCAGCTCCACGTCCTCCTGTACCACATCACTCCATCTCTTCTCCAGCCCGTGCCGCGCCCGTCTAGCCCCCTCGATCCGGCCGAACAAAAGCTGTTTAGGCATGCGGTGGCTGGGCATGCGGGCTACATGACCCAGCCAACGCAGCCTTGCCTGCCGGAGGAGCTCACTGATGGGACTTTGCCCAGATCTTTCAAGGATTTGTGAGCTCCTCACACAATCCAGCCTGGTTAAACCCAGGATGGATCGTAGGCAGGCCAGCCTAAATGTTTCCAACCGGCGAAGATGCTCCACCAGGGGGGTCCACGTCTCGCAAGCGTAGAGAAGGGAGGGAATGACCGTGGCCGAGAAGACCTGAAGCTTCGTGCGGAGCGACAGACCAGGTAGCTTCCACACAGCGTTACGCAACCGATGAAAATATATTGCCGCTCGACTGATTCGGAGTGAGACCTCTGCTGATAGACTGGAGCCGGTCATAAGCACACTGCCCAGGTATGGGAAACTCTCCACTCTCTCCACAACTGCCCCATCACCAATTGGGAGTTGTGGGGGTGGAGTGTCCGATGGTACAAAATACCCAGGCAGGTGCTTAGTTTTGGTGGGGCTGATGGTAAGGCCCCACCTCTTAGTGGCACGCTCCAGTCTCAGCAGCAGCGCCTCCAACTCCTCTTCTGAATGAGCAGCTATTACCAAATCATCGGCATACATAACGTGGTTGACCAATAGGGAGCCATCCCTTGATCGCACCCGGGCGTCGATCAGCCTCCCATTATATCTGTACCAAATGGAAATTCCCCCGGTACAGCTATTGAAGGCTTCACGAACTACGCGGTCAAAATAGATGTTAAATAATGTGGGAGCCAGAGGACATCCCTGTCGCACCCCAAGGTGTACAGGGAAAGGCTCCGACTCCCGGCCACGTAGTTTTACCCGGGCCCGCTCACCATCATGAAGGTCCTTAATGATCGTGAGCAGAGGGTCAGGGACTCCGAAAGCACGAAGAACAACCCAGAGCCCAGTCCTACTGATGGTATCATAGGCCTTGACCAGGTCAATAAAGCAGAGATGTAGGTCTTTTTGGAATTCCCTACACCTCTGCTGTAGCAGACGGACAGAAAATATGGCATCTGTGCAGGACCGCCCTTTCCTGAAACCGCATTGGGGCTCCGCAAGCCTCTCCTCAGCGTGCCTAGCAAGGCGATGTTGAATAATCCTTGCCAGGACCTTACCCGGCACACTGAGGAGTGAGATGCCCCTGTAGTTGTTACAGTCGGTACGGTCCCCCTTCTTAAAGAGGGGAACCACCAGGGCATCCTTCCAGTCCTGCGGAACCCGTCCAGTGGTCCAGACTGTTGTTATGATGTCATATAGGGCAGTCTGTGCACAAACGCCACCCTCCCTCAGCATTTCGCTTGGGAGATCATCTCTGCCCGGTGCCTTTCCTGGTCTCAGACTCCGGATCGCCTTCAGTACTTCCTCAACAGATGGCACCTCAGCCAGCCACTCACAGGGGGTGACCTCTTCCAATATTTGAGGCACCGCAGCCTCAGCAGGGTTATCACCACTTTGTGCCATGATGTTTTCCTGGCTGAGAGAATTTCCCTCCCCCAGGACCTCACAGAAATGCTCAGCAAATCTGCAAACCTGTTCCTGGGGGTCGGAGATTGGATCACCGTTTTTCCTCTAATGATGGTAATAGGTGTGGCGCTGCAGGTTACTTTTTTGATGGAGTTAAATAGTGATTTGTGATCACGGGCCACTGAGGCAGACTCCATCTCCTCAGCAACCCGCGACCACCACCCATCCTTACAGCGCCTGACGGCTCTCCGAACTTCCGAGCGAAGGCTGCGGTAAACCTCCTCATTCTCTGACGTGGGATGCTGTAGGCGATGAGAGTGGGCCTGACGCTTTTTCTCAATTAACCTGAACACCTCCTCTGTCAGCCAGGGTTTCTGGGGAGGTCTGGACCGCGTACCCAAAGCAGCCATTGCAGCTGCATGAGTCACAGTCTTAAACCTCGCCCATTTCCCCTCGACATCAGGTGGAGTGGGGGACGATGCCAACCCCAGCTGCAAGCGATGATGAAATTCTCGCTTGCAACTTTCATCAGCTAACCGAGACCAGGCCACTTTTGGTTGGAATGGGATCCTGGGTGTACACCCACCACCGGAGTGGAAGAAAGGCAGGCGCATCTTACAGATGACTAGTCGATGGTCAGAGGACAGATCAGCTCCACGGTAGGTCCTGGACATAGACACACACACAGAGACACACACACACACAGAGACACACAGACACACGCACAGAGACACACACACGCAGTGACACAGACACACACACACAGTGACACACACACAGAGACACACACACAGAGACATAGACACACACAGAGACACACACACAGAGACATAGACACACACACAGAGACACACACACAGAGACATGGACACACAGAGACACAGACACACACATAGACACACACACAGAGACACACGCAGAGACACACACACACAGAGACACACACACAGAGACAGACACACACAGAGAGACACACACAGACACACACGCAGAGACACACAGAGACACACATGCAGAGACACAGACACACACACAGAGACATAGACACACACAGACACACACACAGAGACACAGACACACACAGAGACGACATGGACACACACGTAGACATGCAGAGACACACACACACAGAGACATGGACACACACGCAGAGACACGTAGAGACACACAGAGACATGCACGCAGAGACACAAAGACACGCAGAGACATAGACACAGACACACCGTTACAGACACAGACACACGCAGAGACACAGACACGCACAGAGACTGGCAGTTGATGCTGCAGCTGCTGCATAGAGTTTGTGTCTCTCTTGTCTTTCTGTTGTCGAGTGGATTTTCTTTCCGGGCCCTCTGGTTTTCCCCTCCACATTTGAGAGACGTGAGTTGCTAGAGTCTTTGCCAACTGCTATAAAGGTTCACGTGATGATGATGATGAACCTCATTGGTAGAACTATCATCGGTAATGCCCAGGTCAGGGCCTTCGAAAAGAGAGCTTACACACACAGCATCTCAATGAGGCCCTTGCCCGCTAAAATAAAACGCGGTCTAGTTTCTAGTTCAAGTCTCGTGCACAACAACAACAACATCATCACGATGCGCCCACCTGCTCAGAGCAGTTCCAGCCCAGGTAAGTGAACTTGCCACTTTTATTACCATCACCAGCACCACCACCAGCACCACAATGTCTCCCCCAGCAAACAACAAAACAGCTGGGCAGGCAGCCTCACTCACTCACGGGGCAGGCAGCCAGGCAGGGAGAGACGAGGCCACGTCTCCTCCAACGCTGGGACACGTGGCGACGACAAACAGAACCGCGATGGGCAAAGCGACCACCCCCACTCCCCCCGAGTCGAACGGACGACGCTTTTCTGTCGATTCTCTCGGATAGTTCTGGAAAATATATTATGGACCTGCCCTCAACAACGCACACTCACACTCACCACCACCCACCACTACCCTCACCACCACCACCCTCACCACCACCACCCTCACCACCACCACCCACCACACTCACCACCACCCACCACCACCCTCACCACCACCCACCCACCACCACCACCCACCACCCTCACCACCACCCTCACCACCACCACCCACCACCACCCACCCACCACCACCCACCACCACCCTCACCACTCTGTGTGGTGAGTCTGTGGGTCTCTGTGTGATGGGTCTCTGTGTGGTGAGTCTGTGGGTCTCTGTGTGAGTCTGTGGGTCTCTGTGTGGTGAGTCTGTGGGTCTCTGTGTGAGTCTGTGGGTCTCTGTGTGATGAGTCTGTGGGTCTCTGTGTGGTGAGTCTGTGGGTCTCTGTGTGGTGAGTCTGTGGGTCTCTGCTGTGTGAGTCTGTGGGTCTCTGTGTGGTGAGTCTGTGGGTCTCTGCGTGGTGAGTCTGTGGGTCTCTGCTGTGTGAGTCTGTGGGTCTCTGTGTGAGTCTGTGGGTCTCTGTGTGATGAGTCTGTGGGTCTCTGTGTGGTGAGTCTGTGGGTCTCTGTGTGGTGAGTCTGTGGGTCTCTGCTGTGTGAGTCTGTGGGTCTCTGTGTGGTGAGTCTGTGGGTCTCTGTGTGGTGAGTCTGTGGGTCTCTGTGTGGTGAGTCTGTGGGTCTCTCTGTGTGGTGAGTCTGTGTGGCGAGTCTCTGCGTGGTGAGTCTGTGGGTCTCTATGTGAGTCTGTGGGTCTCTGTGTGGTGAGTCTGTGGGTCTCTGTGTGGTGAGTCTGTGGGTCTCTGTGTGGTGAGTCTGTGGGTCTCTGTGTGGTGAGTCTGTGGGTCTCTGAGTGGTGAGTCTGTGGGTCTCTGAGTGGTGAGTCTATGGGTCTCTGTGTGGTGAGTCTATGGGTCTGTGTGTAGTGAGTCTGTGGGTCTCTGTGTGGTGAGTCTGTGGGTCTCTGTGTGGTGACTCCGTGGGTCTCTGTGTGGTGAGTCTGTGGGTCTCTGAGTGGTGAGTCTGTGGGTCTCTGAGTGGTGAGTCTATGGGTCTCTGTGTGGTGAGTCTGTGGGTCTCTGTGTGGTGAGTCTGTGGGTCTCTGAGTGGTGAATCTGTGGGTCTCTGAGTGGTGAGTCTATGGGTCTCTGTGTGGTGAGTCTGTGGGTCTCTGTGTGGTGAGTCTGTGGGTCTCTGAGTGGTGAGTCTGTGGGTCTCTGAGTGGTGAGTCTATGGGTCTCTGTGTGGTGAGTCTGTGGGTCTCTGAGTGGTGAGTCTGTGGGTCTCTGAGTGGTGAGTCTATGGGTCTCTGTGTGGTGAGTCTGTGGGTCTCTGTGTGGTGAGTCTGTGGGTCTCTGTGTGGTGACTCTGTGGGTCTCTGTGTGGCGAGTCTTTGGGTCTCTGTGTGAGTACCGGACATCACACAACTAAAAGCTTCAATATAAAGTCGGGGTGAGGGGGGTGGGTGGTAAATAACTTTTCACCATCAATATAACAACAGCAACAAGGACGGTACTACTACAGTGGCCGCTTTGCCCACAAACACACAAACTTCCGACTCCGACTCTTGACACCTCATCCTCCACCTCTTCTCCTCTTACACCTCCGTCTCCGCGTGCCGCTCTGTCATCCGCGCCGTGGCGGCCTCCTCGTCGCTGGAGGGAGCGGAGAAAGTAGGCGAGGGTGATGCGCACGTACCGGGCAGCGCGTGAGAGTTGCACGCACAGTGGAACTTATTCGCGCCCGTTTCGTAGACTAAACATTTCTAATTCGGAAGACGTCACGCGACCACCGAATAAACATCGGCGGGCGTCGTCAAGGGTGGGGATCGAACCCACGACCTCCTGCGTGCCAGGCGAGGTGGTCAACATCTCTCAGTGTCTGGCATTGAACCCACGACCTCCTGCGTGCCAGGCGAGGTGGTCAACATCTCTCAGTGTCTGGCATTGAACCCACGACCTCCTGCGTGCCAGGCGAGGTGGTCAACATATCTCAGTGTCTGGGATTGAACCCACGACCTCCTGCGTGCCAGGCGAGGTAGTCAACATCTCTCAGTGTCTGGCATTGAACCCACGACCTCCTGCGTGCCAGGCGAGGTGGTCAACATATCTCAGTGTCTGGGATTGAACCCACGACCTCCTGCGTGCCAGGCGAGGTGGTCAACATCTCTCAATGTCTGGCATTGAACCAACGACCTCCTGCGTGCCAGGCGAGGTGGTCAACATCTCTCAGTGTCTGGGATTGAACCCACGACCTCCTGCGTGCCAGGCGAGGTAGTCAACATCTCTCAGTGTCTGGGATTGAACCCACAACCTCCTGCGTGTCAGGCGAGGTGGTCAACATCTCTCAGTGTCTGGCATTGAACCCACGACCTCCTGCGTGCCAGGCGAGGTGGTCAACATCTCTCAATGTCTGGCATTGAACCAACGACCTCCTGCGTGCCAGGCGAGGTGGTCAACATCTCTCAGTGTCTGGGATTGAACCCACGACCTCCTGCGTGCCAGGCGAGGTAGTCAACATCTCTCAGTGTCTGGGATTGAACCCACGACCTCCTGCGTGTCAGGCGAGGTGGTCAACATCTCCCAGTGTCTGGGATTGAACCCACGACCTCCTGCGTACCAGGCGAGCTGGTCAACATCTCTCAGTGTCTGGGATTGAACCCACGACCTCCTGCGTGCCAGGCGAGGTGGTCAACATCTCCCAGTGTCTGGGATTGAACCCACGACCTCCTGCGTGCCAGGCGAGGTAGTCAACATCTCTCAGTGTCTGGGATTGAACCCACGACCTCCTGCGTACCAGGCGAGCTGGTCAATATCTCTCAGTGTCTGGCATTGAACCCACGACCTCCTGCGTGTCAGGCGAGGTGGTCAACATCTCTCAGTGTCTGGCATTGAACCCACGACCTCCTGCGCGCCAGGCGAGGTGGTCAACATCTCTCAATGTCTGGCATTGAACCAACGACCTCCTGCGTGCCAGGCGAGGTGGTCAACATCTCTCAGTGTCTGGGATTGAACCCACGACCTCCTGCGTGCCAGGCGAGGTAGTCAACATCTCTCAGTGTCTGGGATTGAACCCACGACCTCCTGCGTGTCAGGCGAGGTGGTCAACATCTCCCAGTGTCTGGGATTGAACCCACGACCTCCTGCGTACCAGGCGAGCTGGTCAACATCTCTCAGTGTCTGGGATTGAACCCACAACCTCCTGCGTGCCAGGCGAGGTGGTCAACATCTCCCAGTGTCTGGGATTGAACCCACGACCTCCTGCGTGCCAGGCGAGGTAGTCAACATCTCTCAGTGTCTGGGATTGAACCCACGACCTCCTGCGTGCCAGGCGAGCTGGTCAACATCTCTCAGTGTCTGGGATTGAACCCACGACCTCCTGCGTGCCAGGCGAGGTGGTCAACATCTCCCAGTGTCTGGGATTGAACCCACGACCTCCTGCGTGCCAGGCGAGGTAGTCAACATCTCTCAGTGTCTGGGATTGAACCCACGACCTCCTGCGTGCCAGGCGAGGTGGTCAACATCTCTCAGTGTCTGGGATTGAACCCACGACCTCCTGCGTTCCAGGCGAGGTGGTCAACATCTCTCAGTGTCTGGGATTGAACCCACGACCTCCTGCGTTCCAGGCGAGGTAGTCAACATCTCTCAGTGTCTGGGATTGAACCCACGACCTCCTGCGTGCCAGGCGAGGTGGTCAACATCTCTCAGTGTCTGAGATTGAACCCACGACCTCCTGCGTGCCAGGCGAGGTGGTCAACATCTCTCAGTGTCTGGGATTGAACCCACGACCTCCTGCGTACCAGGCGAGGTGGTCAACATCTCTCAGTTTCTGGGATTGAACCCACGACCTCCTGCGTGCCAGGCGAGGTGGTCAACATCTCTCAGTGTTTGGGATTGAACCCACGACCTCCTGCGTGCCAGGCGAGGTGGTCAACATCTCTCAGTTTCTGGGATTGAACCCACGAACTCCTGCGTACCAGGCGAGGTGGTCAAGAACTCTCAGTGTCTGGGATGGTGGTGGTGGCGGTGGTGATGATGGTGGTGGCGGTGGTGGCGGCGGCGGTGGTGGCGGTGATGGTGGCGGTGATGGTGGTGGTGGTGACGGTGGTGGTGATGATGATGGTGGTGGCGGTGGTGATGATGATGGTGGTGGTGGCGGTGATGGTGGTGGTGATGATGATGATGGTGGTGGTGGCGGTGGCGGTGACGATGGTGGTGGTGGCGGTGGTGGTGACGGTGGTGACGGTGGTGGTGATGGTGGTGGTGGCGGTGGTGGCGGTGGTGGCGGTGGTGGTGGTGGTGGCGGTGGTGGTGACGGTGGTGGTGGTGACGGTGACGGTGGTGGTGGCAGTGGTGGTGGCGGTGGTGATGATGATGGTGGTGGTGGTGATGGTGGTGGCGGTGGTGGTGACGGTGGTGGTGGTGGCGGTGGTGGTGGCAGTGGTGGTGGCGGTGGTGCTGGTGGCGGTGGTGATGGTGGTGGTGATGATGATGATGGTGGTGGTGGCGGTGGTGGTGGCGGTGGTGGTGGTGGTGATGGTGGTGACGGTGGTGGCGGTGGTGATGATGATGGTGGTGGTGGCGGTGGTGTTGGTGGTGGTGGTGTTAGTGTTGGTGGTGGTGTTGGTGATGATGATGGTGATGGTGGTGGCGGTGGTGTTGGTGGTGGTGGTGTTAGTGTTGGTGTTGGTGGTGGTGGTGTTAGTGTTGGTGGTGATGGTGGCTGTGGTGATGATGATGGTGGTGGTGGCGGTGGTGTTGGTGGTGGTGGTGTTGGTGATGGTGTTAGTGTTGGTGGTGATGGTGGCTGTGGTGTTGGTGGTGGTGGTGGCGATGGTGTTGGTGTTGGTGGTGTTAGTGTTGGTGGCTACCTGCACTCGGCAGAGACGGCATCTCTCTCAGGCACCAGGCTCGGGGAGCTCCCTCCTTGCTCGTCCGCTGGGGAACGAGAACATCGCGCAGAGTGCGGAGAGAAACTCACGAGGCACGTGAGTGCGGAGCAAACTCCAAATACACACCAGCAGCAGCAGCAGCAGCAGGCGTCGTCAGGGTCGTGATCGAACCCACGACCTCCCGTGTACCAGGCGAGGCAGTCAACATCTCATAGCCACCACAACGCCACCACAACACTCACCGTCAACATCTCATAGCCACCACAACGCTCACCGGCAACATCTCATAGCCACCACAACGCCACCACAACACTCACCGTCAACATCTCATAGCCACCACAACGCTCACCGGCAACATCTCATAGCCACCACAACGCCACCGCAACGCTCACCGTCAACATCTCATAGCCACCACAACGTCACCACAACGTCACCACAACGCCACCACAACGCTCACCGTCAACATCTCATAGCCACCACAACGCCACCACAACGCTCACCGTCAACATCTCATAGCCACCACAACGTCACCACAACGCCACCACAACGCTCACCGTCAACATCTCATAGCCACCACAACACTCACCGCCACGTTTGCCGGCACTCCGTGTGCCCCACGTGGTGCACACCACGAAGGGGAGGATCGCCAGCACCGCTATGGCCGCCATCAAGCTGATGGAGGCGCTGCCGCCACCGGCGGGGAGCGTCGCCTCGTCTCCCGTAGACACCGCGGACGAGGGTCGGGAGGAGCGGGAGGTGGCGGCGGTGGTGGCGGCTACGGGATTGGGGACACACGCGGGGAGATACGGTGAGACGCGGGGAGACAGATAAAGACAGAGAGAGACAGACACAGACAGAGAAACAGAGAGAGACAGGGAGACACAGACAGAGAGACACAGTGAGACAGATACAGACAGAGAGACAGAGAGAGAGACAGGGAGACACAGACAGAGAGACACAGTGAGACAGATACAGACAGAGAGACAGAGAGAGAGACAGGGAGACACAGACAGAGAGACACAGTGAGACAGATACAGACAGAGAGACAGAGAAAGACAGAGAGACACAGACAGAGAGACACAGTGAGACAGATACAGACAGAGAGACAGAGAGAGAGACAGGGAGACACAGACAGAGAGACACAGCGAGACAGATACAGACAGAGAGACAGGGAGACACAGACAGAGAGACACAGTGAGACAGATACAGACAGAGAAACAGAGAGACAGGGAGACACAGACAGAGTGGGATGCTGATCAGTGTTGTTGTATGAGGTTAGTGATGAGGTTTTGGTCTTCATCACTTTTCTGTGTCTGTCTTGTGTGTGTCTCTGTGTGTCTGTGTTTGTCTGTGTGTGGCAGTGTCTGTCCGTGTGTGTCTGTGTGTGTCTGTGGCTGTCTGTTTGTCTGTGTGTGTGGCCTGGCACAAGCGTCGTGGTGATGTCACCACCACTTAGTGGCAAATGGCGGTTGTTGTTGTCTGTGTGTGGCTGTGTGTGTCTGTCTGTGTCTGTGTGTCTGTCTGTGTGTGTCTGTCTGTGTCTGTGTGTCTGTCTGTGTGTACCGTTCCGGCCTTCATAGGTGCTCGCTAACAGCACTTGCCCCTACAGTCTGTTAAGGCTATACGGGGGATCTTTATCTGCCTGTGTCTGTCTGTGTGTGTCTGTCTATGTGTGTCTGTGTGTCTATTCAACATCGCCTTGCCAGGCACACTGAGGAGAGGCTTGCGTAGCCCAAATGTGGTTTCAGGAAAGGGCGGTCCTGCACAGATGCCATATTTTCTGTCCGTCTGCTACAGCAGAGGTGGAGGGAATTCCAACAAGACCTACATCTCTGCTTTATTGACCTGGTCAAGGCCTATGATACCATCAGTAGGCCTGGGCTCTGGGTCATTGTTCGTGCTTTTGCAGTCCCTGACCCTCTGCTCACGATTATTAAGGACCTTCGTGATGGTGAGCGGGCCCGGGTAAAACTACGTGGCTGGGAGTCAGAGCCATTCCCTTTTTACCTTGGGGTGCAACAGAGATGTCCTCTAGCTCCCACATTATTGAACATCTATTTTGACCACGTAGTTCGTGAAGCCTTCGATGGCTGTACCAGAGGAATTTCCATCTGGTACAGATACAATGGGAGGCTGATTGATGCCCAGGTGCGGTCAAGGGATAGCTCCCTATTGCTCAACCATGTTATGTATGCCGATGATCTAGTAATTGCTGCTCACTCAGAGGAGGATTTGGAGGCGCTGCTGCTGAGACTGGAGCGTGCCACTAAGAGGTGGGGCCTTACCATCAGACCCACCAAAACTAAGCACCTGCCTGGGTATTTTGTACCATTGGACACTCCACCCCCACAACTCCCATTTGGTGATGGGGCAGTTGTGGAGAGAGTGGAGAGTTTCCCATACCTGGGCAGTGTGATCATGGCCGGCTCCGGTTTAACAGCAGAGGTCTCACTCCGAATCAGTCAAGCGGCAATATCTTTTCATTGGTTGTGTAACGGTGTGTGGAAGCTACCTGGTCTGTTGCTCTGCACGAAGCTTCAGATCTTCTCGGCCACAATCATTCCCTCCCTTCTCTACGCTTGCGAAAAGTGGACCCCCCTAATGGAACATATTCGCCGCTTAAAAACATTAAGGCTGGCCTGCCTACGATCCATCCTGGGTTTAACCAGGCTGGATTGTGTGAGGAGCTCATAAATCCCAGAAAGATCTGGACAAAGTCCCATCGGTGAGCTCCTCCGCCAGGCAAGGCTGCGTTGGCTGGGTCATTTGAGGCTGAGTCGACCTAGGGGAGGCCCGGGACCGGTTCAGATAATCGTCACTGGTGTTGGCCGTGAGCGGGAATCGAACTCGTGTCGCCGGGTTCATAGCGCAGTGCGCTAACCGCTGCACTACCGCTCCCCACCCTCACTCACACACCCACTCACTCACTCACCCACCCACCCACTCACCCACCCACCCACCCACTCACCCACCCACCCACTCACACACCCACTCACTCATACACTCACCCACCCACCCACTCACCCATCCACTCACCCACCCATCCCACCCACTCACCCACTCACTGACACACTCACCCACCCACTCACCCACCCACTCACCCACTCACTGACACACTCACCCACCCACTCACTCAACCACCCACCCACTCACCCACCCACTCACCCACCCACCCACTCACCCACCCACCCACTCACCCACTCACCCACGGCGCTGTGTGGTGGAGGGACGGAGACACACGACAGGGGAGACCACTCCCCTGTCTTCCACCGCGGGTAGTTGACTACGACTCTCACGCGGACGCAGTACTCAGCGGCGCCTGCAGGCTGAGGCAGCGCGTGGCGGTAGCGACATCCCACAAAGCGCTCCTGGCAGGAGCAAGCAGATGGTCTCAGTGTGCTGCGTTACGTGGATGACACGTCGGTGGTCTGGCCACACAGCAAAGATACACTGAGCGCGTTTCTAAATCATCTCAACTCGCAAAACCCATCCATCCAAACACACACACATGTACATTGGCCACGTTCTATTTACGTGACAACCCTCACGAGTTGGCTGTGTCGGGTGGTCGCGGGTTTTAACGACACATCATTTATATATTTACGTGATCTAACCCAAAAACCTCTTTTGGATGATATTGGTCGCGAAGCCTGCTACGTGTTAACCTGAGTATCATCATCAACAGTAGTAGCAGCAGCAGCAGCAATAGCATCATCAGTAGTAGCAGCAGCAGCAGCAATAGCATCATCAGTAGTAGCAGCAGCAGCAATAGCATCATCAGTAGTAGCAGCAGCAGCAATAGCATCATCATCAGTAGTAGCAGCAGCAGCAATAGCATCATCATCAGTAGTAGTAGCATCACCACCCACCCACTCAACCACCCACTCAACCACCCACTCAACCACCTACTCAACCGCCCACCCACTCACTCACCCACCCACCCACTCACTCACCCACCCACTCACCCACCCACTCACCCACCCACCCACCCACCCACCCACTCACCCACCCACCCACCCACTCACCCACCCACCCACCCACTCACTCACTCACCCACCCACCCACCCACCCACCCACCCACCCTCCCACTCACTCACTCACTCACCCACCCACCCACTCACTCACTCACCCACCCACTCACTCACACCCACTCCCTCACACCCACTCATTCACCCACCCACTCACCCACTGACTCACCCACTCACCCACCCACCCACTCACTCACCCACTCACACACCCACCCACCCACTCAAACACCCATCCACTCACTCACCCACCAACCCACCCACCTACCCACTCACCCACCCACCTAACCACCACCCACTCACCCACCCAACCACCACTCACCCACTCACCCACCCACCCACTCATCCACCCACTCACTCACCCACCCACTCACTCACCCACCCACCCACCCACTCACCCACCCACCCACCCACTCACCCACTCACTCACCCGCTCACCCACCCACCCACTCACCCACTCACCCACCCACCCACTCACCCACTCACTCACTCACTCACCCACCCACCCACTCACCCACCCACTCACTCACCACTCATTCACCCACTCACCCACCCACTCACTCACCACTCATTCACCCACCCACCCACTCACTCACCACTCACTCACCCACCCACCCACTCACCCACCCACCCACTCACCCACCCACTCACTCACCACTCATTCACCCACTCTCACCGTGCTAGTGACACCCCTCCTTGTGGAGACCTCGGCTTGCAGATGGTAGTGCACGTCACTCTGCGCCATCCTCCTCCTCCACTCGCTGCTCATGGAGACCCGCACGGACAGCTCCCACGCCTTCCGCTCTCCCTCATTGTCGTCGTCGTCATCGTCGTCATAAAACTCATTGTCGTCGTCATCACCGTCACCACCATCACCGCCATCATCATCATCACCGTCACCGCCATCACCGCCATCATCATCATCATCATCAGCGTCACCGCCATCACCGTCACTGCCATCACCGCCATCACCGCCACCGCCATCACCGTCGGCCCCATCACCGCCATCACTGTCACCACCATCACCCTCATCGTCGTCATCAGCGTCGCCACCATCACCGTCACCGCCATCACCCTCATCATCATCATCATCGTAGTTATCACCGTCACCGCCATCACCGTCGGCCCCATCACCGTCGCCACTATCATCCTCATCATCACCCTCATCATCATCATCACCCTCATCATCATCATCACCCTCATCATCCTCATCATCACCCTCATCATCATCATCACCCTCATCATCATCATCGTAGTCATCATCGTCGTAGCCATCGTCGTCATCATCTTCGTAGTCCTCACCCTCCTCACCACCACACTCCTCCCCCTCCTCACCACCCTCCCCCTCATCATCACCCCCCTCCTCCTCCAGCGTCATGTTCTTGTGCAGCATCAAGGTGACAGTCGGAGCACTCAGCACGGCTGAGACACGGGGGGGGGGGGGGGGGGGGGGAGAGTCACGGGTGGGGAGGGGTGAGGGAGATGACGTCATCTCCCTCGTCTGGTGAGATGACGTCATCTCACTCACCTGGTGAGGAGATGACGTCATCTCACTCACCCCCCTAGCCTGAACAGACTGTTGGTGCCAGAGCAGCACACACAGACACACACACAGACACAGACACTCACACAGACACACACACAGACATACACACAGAGACACACAGACACACACAGACACACATACAGAGACACACACAGACACACACAGAGACACTCACACAGACACACACAGAGACACACAGACACACAGAGACACTCACAGACACACACAGAGACACTCACACACAGAGACAACAACAACCGCCATTCGCCACTAAGTGGCGGTGAAGTCACCACGACCCTTGTGCCAGGCCAAGTGCACCATGAGGCTGCCACGTGAAGTGTCGAACGCCCGCTGGCAGGAGGTCACGGGGCAGACCCAGCAGGTGCCACGGGTCGACTGACCGAGATGACCGAGATGACTGGCTGATGCACCACCTGTGCCCCCTACTGTACCAACTTGCTGTGCTTTAGCCACCCGGCACTCTGCTCGTTGTTGTGAGCGTTGCTCCTCCACCCTCCGTTGTTGTTGGAGGGCGATTGCCTCCAACTGCCCAGTAGCGTCCTTCACGAGCCTCCTCCACAGAGGCCGATCTTGACACCGCTGGTACCAGTCATCGGCAAGTCCACTCAGGTTCACGTCCTTCTGTACCACATCACCTCATCTCTTCTCTAGCCCGTGCCGCGCCCGTTTAGCCCCCTCGATCCGGCCGAACAAAATCTGTTAAGGCATGCGGTGGCTGGGCATGCGGGTTACATGACCCAGCCAACGCAGCCTTGCCTGCCGGAGGAGCTCACCGATGGGACTTTGCCCAGATCATTCAAGGATTTGTGAGCTCCTCACACAATCCAGCCTGGTTAAACCCAGGATGGATCGTAGGCAGGCCAGCCTAAATGTTTCCAACCGGCGAAGACACACACAGAGACACACACACACAGACAGACACACACAGAGACACACAGAGACAGAGACAAACACAGAGAGAGAAACATAAACAATGCCACTTACTTGTCTTCAAGGGTAACACCTCAACCACGACCCAGGGTGACGATGATGGTGGTGATGGTGGTGTTGGTGACGATGATGATGGTGTTGTTGGTGGTGATGAGACGGTGGATCTGACGCGAAGGTGATAGCGGTCGCCAGGATGTCGCAGCGCTGAGGAGACATCGCACCGTGTCTCTGCGGTGGCAGCGCAGACGGTCCGCCAGCGGGCTCGTCCATAGCTGCACAGACAGAGACACGGGGAGGAGGAGGTGGTGAGGAGTGGGTGGGTGAGTGAGTGGGTGAGTGGGTGGGTGAGTGGGTGGGTGAGTGGGTGGATGAGTCAGTGAGTGAGTGGGTGAGTGAGTGGGTGAGTGAGTGAGTGGGTGGGTGAGTGAGCAAGCGGGTGAGTGGTCGAGTGAGTGGGTAAGTGGGTGAGTGAGTGGGTGAGTCAGTGAGTGAGTGGGTGGGTGAGTGAGTGGGTGAGTCAGTGAGTGAGTGGGTGGGTGGTGGGTGAGTGGGTGAGTGGGTGAGTGACAGAGTGGGTGGGTGAGTAAGTGGGTGGGTGAGTGAGTGGGTAGTTGAGTGCGTTAGTCAGTGAGTGAGTAGGTGAGTCAGTGAGTGAGTGGGTGGGTGAGTGAGTTATTCAGTGAGTGAGTGGGTGAGTGGGTGGTTGAGTGTGTTAGTCAGTGAGTGAGTGGGTGAGTGAGTGAGTGAGTGGGTGAGTGAGTGAGTGAGTGGGTAGTTGAGTGCGTTAGTCAGTGAGTGAGTGGGTGAGTCAGTGAGTGAGTGGGTGGGTGAGTGAGTTAGTCAGTGAGTGAGTGGGTGAGTGAGTGGGTGGGTGAGTGCATTAGTCAGTGAGTGAGTGGGTGGGTGAGTGAGTGGGTGGTTGAGTGTGTGAGTGGGAGAGTGAGTGGGTGGGTGCATGAGTGGGTGGGTGAGTGAGAGAGTGGGTGGGTGAGTAAGTGGGTGGGTGAGTGGATGGGTGGGTGAGTGGATGGGTGGGTGAGTGAGTGGATGGATGAGTAAGTGGGTGGGTGAGCGAGTGGGTGAGTGGGTGAGTGGATGGATGGATGAGTGAGTGGATGGGTGCGTGAGTGCGTGGGTGAGCGAGTGAGTGGGTGAGCGAGTGAGTGGATGGTTGAGTGAGTGGATGTGTGAGCGAGTGGGTGAGCGAGTGGGTGGGTGAGCGAGTGGATGGGTGAGTGAGTGGATGGGTGAGTGAGTGGGTGGGTGAGCGAGTGAGTGTATGGTTGAGTGAGTGGGTGGGTGAGCGAGTGAGTGGGTGGGTGAGTGGTTGAGCGAGTGGGTGAGTGAGTGGGTGGGTGAGCGAGTGAGTGGATGGTTGAGTGAGTGGGTGAGTGGGTGAGTGAGTGGATGGTTGAGTGAGTGGGTGAGTGAGTGGGTGAGTGAGTTGGTGAGCGAATGAGTGAGTGGATGGTTGAGTGAGTGGATTGGTAGGTGAGTGAGTGAGTGGGTGAGTGAGTGGGTGGGTGAGCGAGTGAGCGAGCATCTCACAGTTTGCTGTCCACCCTGTAGGCAACGTGCAGGAGCTTTGAGCTGCTGCTGGTGGCGACGTCCACTTGAGCGTCGTGGTCCCAGCGGAGTTGCGTCAGCAGGTCGCGAGACTCCACGCGGACATTCAGAGGGGGAGTCGCAGCTGGGGAGATGGGCAGTGTGCGCTAACCACTGCACCACCGCTCCCCACACACAGTGCGCTAACCACTGCACCACTGCTCCCCACACTGCGCTAACCACTGCACCACCGCTCCCCACACACACACAGTGCGCTAACCACTGCACCACCGCTCCCCACACACATACACACAGTGCGCTTACCACTGCACCACCGCTCCCCACAGTGCGCTAACCACTGCGCCACCACTCCCCACACACACACAGTGCGCTAACCACTGCACCACCACTCCCCACACACACACACACAGTGCGCTTACCACTGCACCACCACTCCCCACACACACAGTGCGCTAACCACTGCACCACCGCTCCCCACACACACACACAGTGCGCTAACCACTTCACCACCGCCCCCCACGTCCACCACAACCTGGTACCCGATGTATCGACCACCTCTGGCTGGGCTCACCGTGTCTGCACGTTACGAGGAGGAGGACGGAGAGGAAGAGTAGGCCAAGTCTCGAGAAGAGTTCTCGCACCGCCATGACACCCACCTGGGACCCACGTGTTTCAGTTTCTCAAGTCACGTGGTGCAGAGAAATTCGATTCCCGGTTCGATTAACTCTACTCGCGTCGATTCTTAATGGGATAACATTAGGAATCGATTCTTGTAGTGGATTTATAGAGTCGATTTCTATTGGGATAACATGGAAATCGATGTATAGTTGATTAAGCTATTGGAATCGATTTCCGTTGAGATAACATGGGAATAGACTATCGTGGGTGTGTGTCCATGTGTGTGTGTCTAAAGTCGATGTCTGTGTGTGTGTACTTGTGTGTAAGTCGATGTCTGTGTGTACTTGTGTGTGTGTGAGTCCATGTGTGTGTATCTAAAGTCGATGTCTGTGTGTGTGTACTTGTGTGTAAGTCGATGTCTGTGTGTACTTGTGTGTAAGTCGATGTCTGTGTGTACGTGTGTGTGTGTGCGAGCCCATGTGTGTGTGTCTAAAGTCGATGTCTGTGTGTACTTGTGTGTGTGTGAGTCCATGTGTGTGTATCTAAAGTCGATGTCTGTGTGTGTAAGTTTGTATGTGTGTGTAAGTCGATGTCTGTATGTACTTGTTTGTGTGAGAGTCCATGTGTGTGTATCTAAAGTCGATGTCTGTGTGTGTAAGTTTGTATGTGTGTGTAAGTCGATGTCTGTATGTGTGTACTTGTGTGTGAGTCCATGTGTGTGTACCTAAAGTCGATGTCTGTGTGTGTGTACTTGTGTGTGTGTGAGTCCATGTGTGTGTATCTCAAGTCGATGTCTGTGTGTGAGTCCATGTGTGTGTGTAAGTCTGTGTGTCTACTGTGCAAGTGTGTGCATAAGTCGATGTGTGTGAGTCGATGTGTCTGTAAGTCCATGTGTGTTTGAGTCGATGTGTCTGTGTGAGTCGCTATGTGTGTGTGTGTAAGTCGATGCGTGTATGTGTACGTTGATGTGTGTAAGTCCATGCGTGTGTGTGAGTCGCTGTGTGTGTGAGTCGCTGTGTGTGTGAGTCTATGTGTCAGTCGATGTGTGTGTGTGTGTCTATGTGTCAGTGAATGTGTGTGTGTAAGTCCATGTGTGTGTGTAAGTCGATGCGTGTGTGTGTAAGTCGATGTGTGTGTAAGTCGATATGTGTGTGAGTCGATGTGTGTGTTTGAGTCCATATATATGTGTGTGTGTAAGTCGATGTGTTTGTGTGTGTGGGTCGATGTCTGTGTGTGTCTTTTTCCCCCGGGCAATGCCAGGTACCTCCCGCTGGTACCTAATAAATTAAACTTGAGTGCAGAAGGTGTTTGCGACGTGCGGTGCGAGTGTGTGAGGATGGATGGGGCATCCTCCACTTGTGGGTGGTGAACTACTTTTGCACCATTTGCAGCCAACCCTTCTAATCAGAGTAGTGTATAGTGTAGTGTATAGTAGTGTAGTGTATAGTGTAGTGTATAGTAGTGTATAGTGTAGTGTATAGTGTAGTGTATAGTGTAGTGTATAATGTAGTGTATAGTGTAGTGTATAAGTGTAGTGTATAGTGTAGTGTATAGTGTAGTGTATAGTAGTGTATAGTGTAGTGTATAGTAGTGTATAGTAGTGTATAGTGTAGTGTATAAGTGTAGTGTATAGTGTAGTGTATAGTAGTGTAGAGTGTAGTGTATAAGTGTAGTGTATAGTAGTGTAGTGTATAGTAGTGTATAGTGTAGTGTATAGTAGTGTATAGTGTAGTGTATAGTGTAGTGTATTAGTGTAGTGTATAGTAGTGTATAGTGTAGTGTATAGTGGTGTATAGTGGAAGACTGTAGTGTAGAGTAGAGTGTATTTTAGTGTAGTATGTACATCTATTTCTCACCGTACGTAGCCCACCGTGCTAATTGGAGGTGCACTGTGATGTATACGCACTTGTATGTTGAGGAGCCCCGGGAACATGTCTCATTCACTGTGTAGTAAGTATATATATGGAGGCTTGACGACAGGATCGGAGGCACACTTATTTATTACACCAACACAGTTGTACAGGTCACTTGGCTACAGGGATTCTCGACAGCTAACCCCTCTAACCTATACCAATTCCTCCACTACGGGACTAGGGGAGGCTATCTGTCCCAGCTTGGTTAAGCTGGGATCCCGGCTCCCTGAGTCACCAGACCAGCTGGGCTCTCGGGGCCACGCCACCGGCTTGCCCTGGTCGGCCCTTATAAGGACAGCGAGCCAGGGGAGCTCTGGGGCCTACACTAGCTGGTCTTCCGTCTTCTCTGGTTAAAGCTGAGTCCCGACCTCGAGCCCTCGAGCTCATCACCTTTTATAGGACTCGCCCCCGAGGGGGGGCCCGTGGGGGATACACATGCGGACGTCGGTGCTAGCGCCACCCTTGTGTACGGCCGTAACCCCGCCCCTTGTGTTTGTTGGCCATCCGTGGCCATGCATAATCACACCTCAACATTCGTAGCCATGCGCAATTACACCTCTACATCACCCCCCCCTGTACAGCTCGCAGCCGTCCCTGGCTGCAAAAAAAAAATCAGAATAAAGGTGCATCCCTCACAAAAACCCCGTGTGTGTGCCTCGCGTAATTTTTAACAAGAACAAGAGAACCTTAACAAGAACAACAACAGGAAGAGAGAGAGAGAGAGAGGAAAAAAAATAACCCGACGCACCCCCCCCGAATAAATACCCCAAAACCAACATATATACACACACTCCGGACGCCACCCCTCCCATTGTCCGCAAGGCCCCCCAACGGCCGACCTCACAATAGTCTGCGCGTTTTGGCGCGCGTCCGCGCGGCGGGCCCGTCACAAGGGCCCGTCCTGGCACGCTCAGTGACGGTTGTTGACGGTCCGGGTGCAAGAGAGTCAGGCGTCGCTGCCGAGTGACCCCCGACCCCTCCGGGAGGGGTTGGTGGGTGTGGACCCGTCACTCCTGTTTCACCTGGGGACGGAACAGTTGGCGTCAGGTTAGGCGAGTGCAGCGACGACGGGGAGTCGGCGACACCCTCACACGTTTGGCCATGCGTGTGTGTGTGTGAACCACGGGGCGGCGCGACAAATGGTTTAACCTTGAGGGGTGCACATACCACCGGCGCCTCCCCCATTTGACGCGAACACATTGCGGCCGCAAAACCTGCACGACCTCCACTGGCCCCCGCCACGGCCGTACCAATTTCGACGAGGTTGCCAGCGGCACCTGAGGACAGTGCAACCACGCCCTGTCCCCTGGTTCCCATTTGACCACCTGCACCCGCCCCAACCGAAGCCTCTCGTTCGCCTTCTGGCGGAGTTCAGAATTTTGCACGGCCGCTTCCCGCGCCTCAGACAATTTAGCGATGTTAAATTTAATGTGTTCGGACAAATTAGACTTCGCCGGGAGCGCCGAGAGCTTCAGCTGGGTCGCCACAGGGGGGTTAACTTCGCGCCCATACATTAAAAAGAAAGGGGAAAATCCGGTGGCCGCATGAGGAGCCATTCTGTAGGCCTGCAACACACCGGCTATGCGGAGGTCCCAATCCGTCTGGGATACCGACACCTGCTGGGACAGCATGGACGTGATGGTCCGATGCAGCCGTTCCACCATCCCGTCAGTTTGTGGGTGATACGGAGAGGTCCGAACCTTCTCCGTACCCAAGAGGTCGCACACCTCACGTAGGAGTTTACCAGAAAAATTCCTACCCTGGTCAGTAAGCAGCCGTTCCGGAGCACCTTTGTCGAGGACATAGCCCTGGACAAAGGCCTCCGCGATGGCTGCTGCCGACTGGTTCGCCAGGGGCCAGGCCATAGGCCATCTCGTGAAGTATTCAACCCCCGTTAGTAAATACCTATTGCCCCTGGGCGTAGCGGGAAATGGCCCAAGTATGTCCAGAGCGACGAGCTCGTTAACCCGGGAAACTTTTATGGACTGCAGCGGAGGGTTGGACCCCCTCGCAGGCGGCTTCCTCTGCGCGCATTGCGTGCATGACCCCAAGAGATCCCCCACGTCCTTTTCCATGCCCGGCCAGAAGAAATCCAGCTGGAGCGTGGCAAAGGTCTTGTGAACCCCCAAGTGCAGAAGCCGCTCATGAACAGCCCATACCACCTTACCCCTTAAAGCAGCAGGCACCACAAGCCGCTGGCGCCGGGTTTTTCCATCCCAGTGCATCAAAAGACCCTGGAACAACCCCCACGAGTCAACGTTTTCCACCCCCTGACCAGCCCCCCCGACGCGACGGCGCAAAGCGAGGAGGGAGGTGTCCTCCATTTGGAGGCGTCCCCATTCCGCGACCGGCAACCCCAGCAACGAATCCCTCCCTTCTTGCTCGATAGGACCCGAAGCCGAAGGTGCATCGGTAGCGGCCACGAGGACCGAATCGGTGGTGACGTTCGGGGGCCTACAACGCCCCGAACCCAACAGGCACGCGCACTCCGAAGTGGGTGGCAATCGTGACAGGGCGTCAGCGTTCGTGTGGCGGACACCCTTACGATATGTGGTGACAAAGTCATAGTCTTGGAGGATCTCCAACCATCGAGACAACTGGCCCGATGGTTGTTGAACCCGCAGGGCGTACTGTAGGGCCGCATGATCTGTACGGACGGTGAACCGCCGACCGTACAGATACGGGCGGTACTGCTGAATGAAATAAACAATGGCCAATAATTCCCGACGGGTAACGCAGTACCGCTGTTCGGCTGGAGACAGTACCCGACTACCGTAAGCCACCACATGCTCTACGCCCCCGATGAGCTGGGACAGCACACCCCCGATGCCCGTGTTACTTGCGTCAGTATCGAGCAAGAAGGGTTGTGAAAAATCCGGGTAATTCAACGGCGGAGCTCCCACCAAAGCATTTCTGAGGGCGCGAAAAGCAGCCTCCTCCTCCGGCCCCCAATGAAACCTGACTCCCTTGGACGTCAAGGCATGCAATGGTTTCGCAATCGTAGCGAAGTCAGCCACAAATCGCCGATAATACGACGCGAACCCAATGAAACTCCTGACCTCTCCCACAGAGGTGGGAGTCGGCCAGGAGCTGACGCATTCAGTTTTGGCGGGATCAGTGGATATCCCCGAGCGCCCAACAATGTGACCCAAATATCGCACCGATTCGCGGAGTAAATGACACTTCTGTGGTTTAAATTTCAAATTGGCAGCCCGCATTTTGAGAAAAACAGCACGCAACCTCTGGAGGTGTTCCTCGAAGGATTTGCTAAAGACGATGACATCGTCTAAGTAAATCAAACACGAATCCCATTGCAAACCTGCCAAGACCAATTCCATTAACCGCTGAAAAGTTGCCGGCGCAGAATGTAAACCCATCGGCAAACGGTTAAATTGGAAGAGGCCCTGCGGTGTACGAAAAGCAGTCTTAGGTTTCGATTCGTCATCCAGAGGAAGTTGCCAGAATCCAGATAGCAAATCAAGGGTGGAAAAGAATCGCGCACCGGCCAAGGCGTCGAGCGACTCATCCATCCGAGGAAGCGGGTACGCATCTGCCACAGAGATTTTGTTGAGACGCCGAAAGTCAACACAAAATCTCAGTGAGCCGTCGTGTTTTTTCACCAAAACGATCGGCGCGCCCCACGGGCTGGTGGAAGGGGAAATGATATCGGCGGCTAGCATGTCATCAACAGCCGATTTGACATGATCCTTTTCGGCGGGACTCAACCGAAAGGGATTTTGGCGGATTGGCGCGCTGTCACCCGTGTCAATATGGTGTCGCAGCAATTTTGTACAACCAATATCAAATTTGTGTTGACTAAAAACGTCAGCAAATTCGCTCAGGAGAACTCGCAGCTGCGCGCGCTGCGAGTCAGACAGGTCCACTGAACCCGCGCAAAGCGCATCCAGCCATCCGTCATCAGAGTCCGAATGCGGTCGCGACGGAGGATCGGTGGATACCTGACCCACGAGTGGTTCCTCATAGGGCACCGGCGTTGCGTGTGCAAGCACGGTCCCTTGAGGAACCACGGCCGTTCGCGATCCCACATTAAGGACTGCAATGAAGGGGTCCCCATCCCCTCTCACCATAGTCTGAGCCGCGAGCAAATCGGGTCCATTGACCCCGGCCCGAGATGGACCCAACAAGACCCCCCGATCCGCAACCCCTGCATCAAACGGCCGACGCAACCTAAGAGGGACGAGCATCTGAGCCCCCGGAGGCACGCGCACAGTTTTTGTGACGAGCGCCTGCACGGTGGCAAACGCCCGACGCTCCGTGGTGGGGGAAGACAGAAATGTAACGCGTCGGCCCGATGGGAGCTCAATGCACCCTTGGTCAATAAGGATACGGATGGGCATTTTGGCCAGAAAATCCGTCCCCAACAGGCACGGAACCGCGAGTGAGGAGGAAACCAAAACAGGGCCGGATAATTTAATGTCCCCAATGCAGATAGTGGCGCGGATTTGGCCAATAATGCCCAGAGAGCCCCCGTTAGCGGCATAGCACGGCACGTCAACAGGGAGCAAGGGACGACTTTGAACGGGAAGGATGTTATAAATTAAATCAGATATAATGGTCGCCGATGCCCCTGTGTCAATTAAAATCCGCACCTCTACCCCATCAATGTGACCGACCACGACCGATGATCCCGCCGACGCAGCAACGACACGATGGGCGAGCTCCGACCACTGACCCGGTTGGAGCGCTCGCCGCATTACCGAACAATCGCGCGCGACGGACGGGGAATTTGGAGCCCTGTTTAGTTGAGCGCGTGAGTGTGTGTCGGATGTGTGCGTGGGCCAAACGTGTGAGGTGCCGCGACTCGCCGTATTTCTCTGCTGGAGCTTGGGAGGAGACGGCGTGGCGTCCTGACGAGGTGTCGCCCCGCGCTGACGGGGAGCCCGGCATCCAGACGCAACGTGGCCTTGCAGGCCACAGTTGTAGCAGCGTGTGAGCGCCCCAGATGACCTGGGCTGCTCCTGGCGGCTCGGTCCATTCCGAGCCTGCGGTGCCGCCGATCTCCATTCCCCTCGCCGCTCCACCCCGCAGACCTCCTCCGATGGGAGGGCGGTGGTCGCCATGGCATGGCCGGCCGCCCCCTTTGCCGCCTTCCGACGCAGGGACCGCAAGCCCCCGTGGATGTGGCGCGCGACCAGCAGGGACGACATCTCCGCGTCGTCCTGAGCCAAGACGTTGACGTCCAGCTCGTCAGCGAGTAGCAGCAGCTTCTCAGCTACCATGGCATCCACTCCTTCCTCGTCCATCCTTGGGAAAGCAGCCTTTGCCAGAGCCAGGAGAGCCGTCCGGAAGGCCAGGGGTGACTCGTTGGCGCCCCGACTCCGATCGTGGAACAGCTGCCTGCAGTCCGAAGGCGGCCCATAGACGGCTGACAGCAGCTGCAACGCCAGGTGTAGAGTGGCGCGCTTTTCCCTCGGCGCCGAGGTGAGGGTAGCCAGGGCGTCGTTGTCCAGCATCGCTGGCAGCGCGCGTAGAGCCTCGGCGTCCGTCCAGTTCGCCATCTCTTGATGAGCGATGAACCGCCTCTTGAAGCCGCCCCAGTCTCCGTCAGCGCCGACAAATTCTTTAAGAGGCGGCAGACGCTGTTGTAAGGCGGCGTCCGTGGCCGCAGAACGCTCTCCGTCGCTCCCCGCCGATGATACAGTGTGGGCGGGCCGTGCACATGGCATCGCCGGTCGCTCTGATGTTGACGCGCCGGCCGGCGTTGATGATGTCACGGCTTGTGCTTGGCGCTCAGCAGACACGTGACGCGGGCCGGCCCCGCCCTCCGCTCGTACTGTAGAGATGGCGGGAAATTTGACCGCGAGCCGCGTCGGGGGTGGCGGGAAACGTCGCCCCGCGCCGGCTGCCGTCGTCGACCCGCGCTGCTCCTCCAGCCCCCAGCCGCGTGATCTCCTCCAACGCGGCGGCCGCGGCGTAGAGCAGGTCCGCCAGGCGGGAGTGGGCCAGCCGGAGTCCTTCGGCCGACGCATCCCCCTCCTCCTGTCGTAGCGGCGCGGGCGTACTCGGCCCCGGCTGCTCCGATTCGACCCCGGCCATCACTGGTGGAGATTCGGCCGCGGCGTCTTCCATCTCCGACTCCCTGGTACGTGTCGTCCCTCGTGTGTCCATCGTTGGACGTTTACTTCTGACACCAGATGTAGTAAGTATATATATGGAGGCTTGACGACAGGATCGGAGGCACACTTATTTATTACACCAACACAGTTGTACAGGTCACTTGGCTACAGGGATTCTCGACAGCTAACCCCTCTAACCTATACCAATTCCTCCACTACGGGACTAGGGGAGGCTATCTGTCCCAGCTTGGTTAAGCTGGGATCCCGGCTCCCTGAGTCACCAGAGCAGCTGGGCTCTCGGGGCCACGCCACCGGCTTGCCCTGGTCGGCCCTTATAAGGACAGCGAGCCAGGGGAGCTCTGGGGCCTACACTAGCTGGTCTTCCGTCTTCTCTGGTTAAAGCTGAGTCCCCACCTCGAGCCCTCGAGCTCATCACCTTTTATAGGACTCGCCCCCGAGGGGGGGCCCGTGGGGGATACACATGCGGACGTCGGTGCTAGCGCCACCCTTGTGTACGGCCGTAACCCCGCCCCTTGTGTTTGTTGGCCATCCGTGGCCATGCATAATCACACCTCAACATTCGTAGCCATGCGCAATTACACCTCTACAACTGTAACATTACTTACAAAATATGTTCAGCAGATTAGCACGAACCCGGCTTCATTGTGGCAGGAGGTGCACAGCTGCCAATCCCACCTCTACGAAGGAATGTTCGCGTTTGCAGTCGTGTCTTTGCACGGTGCACTGCAAAATGGTGGGTGGGTGGTTTGGTTTTCACCGCGAACCTCCTTCCAAAACAACGCCACATTGACAACTATGCACACGGAGACACTTACGCTCGCAGACGTGAAGTTGACTTGAAAACATTTATTGACCACGCGACTCAAATGTCCATTCGACCATTCAAGCGTAGCGACAGGTAAGCGATGTCAGTGCACATTCATCGCGAACAAATACCTCGAGGCATTTCGTGACGACTTGCAAGGCGGAGCATCGGACGTCTCTGTCGATGCCGTTGTGTTTGTCGCGCTTGAGGTGCATCTTCACCTCGAAGTCAACGTCGCCGCTCAGATCGTCGCGCATCTCCACGTATGTGAAGCTGCTTGTGGACGGCATCCGCTATTTCTTCTCTCCTGCTGCTGCTTCTGCTGCTTCTGCTGCTCCTCCTGCTGCTGCTGCGAGCGGCTTGAGAGACGCAGGCGGCTCGCGCGCTCCTCACCGCCCGTCTCGCGGCGGTAAAAGTAGTTGAAGTTGGAGACGACGACGGGCACGGGGAGGGCGATGGTGAGCATGCCGGCGATGGCGCACAGCGAGCCCACCGCCTTGCCCCACGCCGTCACGGGACACATGTCGCCGTAACCCACCGTCGTCATGGTTACGATGGCCCACCAGAAGGTGTCGGGGATGCTTCGGAACTCCGAGTTTAGTTGGTCGGCCTCGGCAAAGTAGACGGCGCTGGAGAAGAGGACGACGCCGATGACGAGGAAAAATACGAGCAGGCCCAGCTCGCTCGCGCTCGCCTTCAAAGTCTGGCCCAGGATCTTCAAGCCCCTGGAGTGCCTGGACAGCTTGAGTATCCGGAACACTCGCACCAGCCGGGTCATCCGCAAAATCGCCAGTGACGTGGCCTGCTGGTCACGCCCTTGGGCTTGGCCATCTCGATGCCGAGGGTGATGAAGTAGGGCAGAATGGCCACGATGTCAGATGATGTCATGATGCTTTTGAAAAATCCCAGTTTGTTGGGGCACGCAAAAACCTCACCAGCAGTTCAAAGGAAAACCAAACGATGCACATGGTTTCCACGATAAAAAATGGATCAGCGACAAAGCCGCGATGTGGTACCGTCGACCTGCGTGCCGTTGATGTCCTTTGCCGGGAGAAATTTCTGCTTATTCTCGTCCCTGAGTTCAGGCAGAGTCTCGAGGCAGAACATGATGATGGAGATGAGGATGACCAGCACAGACACGGTGGCAATTCCCCTGGCCGCGATGGAGCTCTCGGGGTATTCGAACAGCAGCCACACCCGCCGCTGGAACTCGTCCGATGGCAGTGGCTCCTTCCCTCCACTCCCTCCTCCTCTCACGATGAAGCCCTCGTCTTCCCAGAACTTGACCACGGCTCGTTGCCGAGCTCGTAGAACTCGATCTCCTCGCCGAACACTTCGAGGGAGACGTCGACCGGGCGTCTCAGCCGCCCGCCGGACTGGTAGTAGTGGAGGATGGCGTCGAAACTCGGCCGGTTCCTGTCGAAGAAGTACTCGTTGCGCAGGGGGTCGTGGTGGCGCCACCTCTTGCCGGGGTCGCCCAGGAGGGTGTCCGGGAACCGGCCGAGTGTCTTGAGCTGCGTCTCGAATCGCAGCCCCGACACGTTGACGACGACCCTCTCGCAGGACTCGTGCGTCAGCGGCTCTGTGCCGCCGTCAAGCAGCGCCGCCTCGTACATGGCGGTTGGAGAACTGCGCCGGGTCAGAGGTCACAAACGGGTTTTGATTCCTTACCCGTACCCGTACCCGGCCGCACCCGTACCCTACCCGTACCCGCCCTGGTACGGGTAGGGTACGGGTATCTGGTACCCGATTGCGACCTCTGGGATGAAGCCATGTTGCAGGCGCGGGTGGGTTGATTCTAGGAACTTGAATTGTGAGAAGAGAGAAGACGTTGGGAAATGAGTGACAAACGGTTACTCACCAGTGACTCACGGCCTACCCGTACCCGGCCGCACCAGGGTCGCAAACGGATACCCGGCTACCCGTACCCGGTCGGGTACGGGTAGCCGGGTATCGGGTAGGGTACGGGTATCGGGTACCCGGTTGCGACCTCTGGCAGGGGTCAGGCTGGCACGCGGCAGATTTCGACAACAAAAAATGTCAGCAGATACAAAGCCGCGTGAAATAAAAAAAATATGCAGAAAATCAGTGGCGGCGCAGAAATGCAATTGTATGTTTCGTATAAGTAAGAGTGGTTGTAAATATTTTAGCAGTACTGGTGATTTTAACGGTGGTGTTGGCTGGGGTTGTAATGTCATTGTCAGAATTTTAATGGCGGTCGATGTCGAATTTATACAATTCGTTGCTGTTTAATGGGAGGCAATTACAAATTAGTGAGGGCAGGCGATTTCAAATTTTTCTTTTTTCAGTTGATTTTACATTGCATGGTCATGCAATGTATATGTATGCAATGTTTGCTGAACATCTTTCGCACCGTACGTAGCCAACCGTGTCAATCGGAGGGTAATACTGTGATAGCATGTGGCTTGACAACGCACGAATGAGATTCAATTGCTCTCCACACACCCCCCCCTCGACAATGACACATGCTCCTCCGTTGTATGATGAGTTGCCCTTGCCATCATAAATGGGTAATCAGCGCCAGGGCAGATGAGCCAATTTATCCGAATGATCGGGTCAAATGTAACCCGTTTACAGTTTCCATTCTCGTGATCGTGATCTCGTTGGCATGTACTCCACTTTCAAAATGTATCCTCAGTCATTGAATTCTAGGGGGAGTTCTCCAGACAAATTTACATTGAGATTAGATGCTTTTAAAGCGGACAAACCGCACGCGGATGGATTCCTGCAGTCACGAAAGCTTCAAATCATTATTAGTATCATTACGCCTCAAAAGCTAAAGCAGGTTGACCTGTTTCCATTTAAAGTTTTCGTGACTGCAGGGATTCATCTTCTTGGTTCTTTCGGTAAAGTCACGTCAGAAGGGAAATAATAAAATAATAAAAATAAAACATAAAATAATTCTCACGACGTTTCGGCCACAAAGCAAGCAGCCGGTCCTCAGGTGAAGACCAGGTCTGTCGGGGAGACAGCGTCATTCAGATGCTGTTTGTTCATTAAGACGCTGTCTTTCCGACAGACCTGTTCTTCACCTGAGGACGGCTGCTTGCGTTGTGGCCGAAATGTCGTGAGAATTGTATTTTATATGTTTTATTTTATTATTTTATTATTTCCCTTCTACGTGACTTTACCGAAAGAACCAAGAGTACAGGTTGGCCTGGTTAGTAGTTTGGTGGCAAACTGCCCGGGTGTTCAGTACGGTACTAGGTACAGGGTGTTTCGTCTTGGGCTGTGCAGTGCCCAGTAGGTGATGGTACAGCGATGGATTCTTGATTCTATCTGTGCAGAGCTTTGAGTATCACGCTCAAGCACGCATCGGGCTCGCGAAGGAAAACACACGGCCTGGCGGTAGCGCGTTCACCAATTGTCGCAGAGGATCACAGTTCGAAGGCAGCAACCGCCTGGTTAATACTGCGTGCCTACTAACCGTACCGATACTCCGATTCGCACGGTTGGCTACGTACGGTGACAACGTTCAACACACGTCCATACAAGACTGTCACTATTTGCCGTCTGCTTCACAGCGGACGTTAGGAGTCCAGTGACTTCATTCGCAAGAGTCAAACTACCGCAACTGAAGGCGATGTTTTATTTCAGCAGGTAAGGCCCATTGAGCTGGCTCAAGGAAGCGGCTTCTCACTTGTAAATGTCCAGCAGGCAAATACCGGCTACGAACGTCGATTACAAAAAGTTGGGGGAGAAACGGGAGGACCCGGAGGGAAAAAATCCACGCAACCACGTGAAGATAGACACGCAAAGTGGAGATGTGAAGCTTCCGTGGCTGCAAGGATTCATACTCTTTGTTTTTTTTTGGTAAGTCACGTGGGCAAAAAATAAATAATAAAAATAACGGAAATTCTTCTATAAATAGGAAATATATAATTATACTTTTATTTCTATTTTT